TACATTTCATCGGAAACTCGCAGATGGGGGGTTGGGTTAGCCGGTCACTCTAAGTCAGTGTTTCCCAAACTTTTTTTTTCTGGGGACACAAATTTTCAAAATCGCAAAACTTCGCCACCCGAGTCAATAGACGTGATTCGTAAACTCCTGGGAAACATGATGCGAGACGACTCAAAAAAAAAAGCTCTTGCGACACGCCCAAGGGGTCGTGACCCTGGTGGACCAGGATGCAAATGAAAATGTGAATGGATGTTTGTTTCTGTATGTGGCCCAGTCTGTAGCTCAGATACATGACTGTTGAAGTACAGTGTAGTAACAGAATACACGTCAGGAAGAGTGGGTCGGAGACGCCGGCTCTGTCCTGAGAGGCAGCATTGTGTGTGTGTGTGTGTGTGTGTGACGTACCACAACATACGTCTTTATTGTCTTAATGTGGAGACTGTGACGTTTGATGTCACTCACCCCTCCCTCCCCCCGGCCTCGCCCTCACAAATACCTCACTCCCTGTCACTGATGTTGGGCTCTCGAGTCTTTACTAATGTCAACCCAACAAACGTCAAACAAACAAAAATCAACATCAAAAAGCAACTTGACATGTCTTGGTTTCTAGGAAAAAGTTTCATCTCAAATCTCATCCAGTTCTGAGAAGAAGAAGTAGAATTTTTTATTTATTTTCTAGAAAGCCTTCCGGGAAACTGAGACAGTCCAGTTGCCTTGACGACAGAGAAAAATTAGAAGGAAGCAACGGCAATAGTTGAAGCTCAGCTTCTAACTATAAATGTTATGAAGTAAATATTCGAATATCTACAGGTTGCAGTAAAATGTACCTCAACTTGATTGACCGTTTTATGTAGTTTCTTTAGAATCTGCGGCCTCTCACGTCAGAAATTCTGATATAATTTTTGTTCTTAAACATTCTGTAGCTTCTGTAGCAATATACTGTCAATTATTGAATTTCGCAATTGTTTGGTTTCGGTTGTTAAAATGATCAACTTCTGTTAGTAGGTTGGATGTTTTTAGTATCGTTAACTTTCATCGTCAGGAGCAGAAGTTGTACTTAAATCTGACCAATTAACTCCGCTGTAAACCTGATTGGATGAAATCACGAATTATCGGTATCTTGAAAAAAAAAAAAAGAAAGAAAATATTGCGCGTCCTTAATTGTAAATATTTGTGTTCGTGACCCGGATTTTAGTTCGTTTGGTGAGTTAATGCTCACTTCAGTTCGGGATTAGTGTTACAGATCGGTAAAATGTCGTTACTTTATCCAGCTCATCGTGCAGCTCCGACAGGGACGGCCTGGTCAACTTCTCTCCGAAGGGCGCCGAGCTCTGCCGGTAGAACTCGATGTTGGGAACCGCGTCGATGGTGTTGTGTCCGAAGGTCCTCATGTAGTAGGTGTTGGAGTGGGTGTCGGAGAGGGGGTGTGGTTGTGTCCCGTGCCCGTGGAATGAAGGCTGACCGAGTCGCTTTTCGCCGTGTCGGGCTCGTGGAAGACGTCCGGCGGGAGACCGATGTCCCCGGCACTGCCCAGCGGTCCCGGATCGGAGAAACCCACCACCTTGAGCCGACCTTTGGACTCATCGGGCGCAGGTTTGGACGCGTCGCCGGCGGCCGGTGTGGCCACGGCTTCGGTCACGACATCCACCTGGAAGCGGCTCTGCGGTGAGCCGCCGCCCCCCAGGGC